TTTACTGTGCACTAGATACAGTGTACCAGTTACTACAGTATGTGCCAGTTACAATGTACTAGGTACTGTGTAATTACTTTGTACCTGTTACAGTGTAATAGTTACTATGTATTATAAAACGGATTGGCTGACACGCTTTCGAAGCCGTGCTATATTCTCTGATTACGCACACCCTGGAAGGAATTTTGACTTTTTACTGTGTGAAAAAGAAATATAAATGCGCTGACCGATAAATTACGGTCAATCAAATCAATCGCATAGGCTTTTAAAGATTACTTCTTAGCGTAGATAAGAAAGCTTGGATTCTCAGGTATCTGATACGTGTACTGTATCTTCTTCTGCTGTCTTTGTTGTGCTATTGAGGATCCTTGTGATTTTTTGTGCTCTCGTTGAATGATAGTGTTGCGTAGTTTTAATCATTCTCATTCTTAGAAATTATCAAACGCTCGGTTAAAAGCAAGGGAGATTATGTCTGTTATAGTTATAGCGAGAGTTCGCTACGGTGTTATTGGAAACCCAATTTTAATGACAAAGCGCTGGAGTGATATCCTGATAGGCACCGACACCAGCGCCAGCGAAAACCAAAATGACTGACGAACTAGGGACTGGACAGTTTTTCAATGCTTGTACGATCAATGGAAATGTTCAAATAAGAGTACTAAAGAAATAAACAAAAAAACAAGTCATTTATTATCATATTGGCTAGCTAATGTCCTCTTTTCGCTACTGAATGTTACCTTTGGCCGTGTTTCTGCGTTGCGTAGCAACGAGGGACTATATTCTCAGACGGAGGAACCTAAACAGCTTAATTTTCGTGTTAAATAATTTTTTAAAAATTAAAATCCATTCTATACAGCAATCGCATATTTAGGGACCGTTTAATAAAAGCAATAAGGCACTTGAGGCCTGTGCTATATCGTGGATATAGTCACAGTTAACAACGCCTTTTAACTGTGACTACAGTATATTCACGAGATAGCGCGGCCTCTCGTGCCTTCTTGCTTAACTAGTTAACGTGTGTTACTGTGTGCCAGTTACAGTGTTCTAGGTACTGTGAACCACTTACTGAAAGTAAGGTGAAACAGAAACACCTGACGAGGTGAAACAGAAGATGGCGGAGAAGATGCAGGTAATAAAAACGTGCCGAAGAAAATTCGAGGACACAGTGGGTCCTGAAAGACGTACCGAGCAGCTGCAGGTTCCATTGCCGGACAGGCCATCAGAGCAAACCCCCCTGTTACTGCAGGGTGTCTCGGCTCTCTCCGGGCATTCTGCATCAGGACACAGGGAAAAGAAGCTCCTTTAAATTACAGTGTGTTTGGAAAGGAATTGATACACAGTTTATATCAATCTCTCATATAAAAGGACAGTGATAACATACACAGAGTTAAGCGTACAGCTAAATGACAACATTTACAATGCTTCTAGAGAGTCACTATGCACCAGTCCACATGAACGCCCATGAAATAATCCCAGAATATCCATTTTCTTCTTTCTCACTCACAATAACCAAGAATCTGACCTCTGTGAAGGCCTGACAGAAATAGCTAGTCCTCTCTCGCTGATGGGGTCTTTGTTCTCTGCCCTTTTATCAGTCTTTCTCAACATTCAAGCACTCTGCTGCATTTCCTTCCTTCCATCCTCTGAAAACCGCGGTTGTGTTTGTTGGAAGCCCATCAAACTAATTCCTCAAGACGGAATGTTCCAGAGCTCCAATTTTGGATCTCAGGTCTGATCTTGGAGTCAGCAGTTTCTGGGTTTTGCACAGAATGTGCGAGAGAATCAATATCCATGGCCGTCCTAGGTCCTCAAAGAAACTTGCAGTTGAAGGTGTAACGAAAAACAAATATGTCTAAGCAGTGAAAAATCAACATTTATAGACTAGCAATTTCAGAATGCATTAGCCCTGTGCCTTAGCCTAGAGACAGGCGGATGATAGATGCCAATATTTAATTACTACTTGATTAATTGATAAAGATCACTTCCATCGTTAATTAACCAATGCACTAAAGATATGTAGTGTTTATCTGGAGGAACCAAGGCTGTGAAGAAACCCACTTTTTGTCTAACAGACACCGTGGAAGTGTTCTGCTGTTACACAGTGATGGAAAGGTTTTGATCTAGTAAAGATTAATTTAGTAGCAGTTTATCACTTGCAGAGCAATGAGAGGAAGGCCGAGAAGAGCAGGGTGTCAAGCCATGCCAAGAGAGTGTTTAATCTTTTGTACGAACGAGCCTCATGTTTCCGCCTGCAGAGCTGGCGTTTCTAATCTTTGGAGAATTTGATTTTGTCTAATTTTATCTTAGTTCATAATCACACACCTCCTGTTCATAACAAAGATTGTGCTCTAGTATTATCATAGTTTTCTTTGAAGTGAGTATTCAGATTTCACCACTGGCTCTTTGATCACAGACATTTTTAGTGACAGCAATACAATGACTGAACTTTTTTTACTTCCATGCTGTGAATCTGTACAGAAAGGCTGAAATTTATCACTGAAGTGATACATTGAGGAAACACCTATATGACCCCAAATCCCGACTGTCAGCACATTCCAGGAGGTGGCTGCCGGTTGCTGTGCTCTACTGTGAAGGAAGGAAGAATATCTGTTTTGGGATTTACAGGCATGTACAGTACTGTATCCTCTGAAAGATCCCTCTGTGAGTGTGTGCTTCATTACAATGGCATAAAGAACAATACAGGTCACTCAAAGCAGAGGACATTTGTCTTGTGTTAAAACTTTCCTATTTAGGCTGTCAAAGTGATGTATCTGTGTCTTTTTTTTATAATTTTTAAGTAAATGATTTAAAATAAACTTTGAAGAACTTCATATTTCTGGTCTGTTCTTTACAGTCTGGCAGGAGTTTAACTGTTCAAGGATCACGCAATGTTTTTTTTTTATTTACACTCAATTACATTGCGATTCCTATCAGTTTATTTTTCTTTAAAATCAAACCAAATTTTAACAACAACTGTTTATTGTTTCGCCACATCCAATACTTTCAATTAACTTTTTTCTCCTTTTTGAAAGTCTGTCAGTCAAAGTTGTTTCACATTCTCTACTCATTTCTTTACTTAGATCTTGTGTATTACAGTAATTTATTTACCTTTTATTTCAATATATGTCTTTTCATTTTTCCTATAAACCTCTCTCTACATTTTAGATGAAATCACACCTGGTTTAGTTCTGCAGATTCAGTAGATATTGAAATGCCTGCACAGTATTTAATATGAAATGTAACAATTGTGATATACTGTAAATATATAGATAATTTATTCAGGCTTTAACCTCAATAATTCAAATTATAAAATGAACCATTGTTTAAATTCTTTTAAGCATTAGAAATTGAAGAACTAAAATAGTTTTAATTTAATTATCATGACTACATTGTACTTCAGAATTTTCTGGGCTGACAACACAGGTTACCTTCTTTAATAACATTTTATTTACAGAATGCAAAGAAAGAACCAAATAGAAAATATTTTTTTTACTATTTATGTGATGTTTAAATATAACATTTCTTGAAAGGTTCTGATTCTGACTGAAAACCTGCACTAAATAAATCAGATTTTTTTTAATTGCCTTCGCAGCTGCAATTATGAAGGAGAAATGTTGAATGAAAAGGAAATACAGGAAAGTGAGGAAGGTCATCTTTGCAGGCAAGGAAACAGACAGCTTCTCCTGCTCATTCACATTCACACACAGTTGAACATAACACACAGGAGAGACATAATGTACTGTTTCTATTGCAAACTAACACACCAGCTGGGTTCTGCACCGATACCCCCATTTCAGCGTGCCAATGACTTTGAAGAAGATACATCGGTTTTCTTCAAGGACTGGCAAGATCAGATCTGATTTGCAAAGTTATCAGAATTTACTTGCTTCCAATTAAAATACAGTAGGTACAGTATAAGATTAAGAATAATGCTGTGCCCCAAAGCAGCCACCTAACAGATGTTCCTGGTGTACCTACCCATGCAGTCGGTCCCCCAGTATCCAGGACAGCACTGTGGCTCCATAACCTCTTTGATGCAAATATGACTACAGCCTGGGAGCGATAGGCTGTAGTTATTCACTGAATATAAGTACCTATGAGCACACAAACAGATGAATTGCGAAGTTAATCAAAAACATGTACAGTAGATCCCATGTCAATATTTACTCTGTAATTTCTGATTGTAGTCTCCGAGGCAAAAGATAAATTCTGCAATATGTGCAGCTTTTTGAAAGATCATGTAGACGTCTTTATCCACAGCTGTCATCAGAAACATACCGAAACAAATCACTGAATCCTTCTTTCTGAACAGCTAAGGATGCTAATAAAAGTGTTTTCAGAACTCCTTTTTTCAAATATTTCACGGCTAAGCTTCTTTAACCTCCTCTTCCCCGTTTCTCTGAAAAACCAGTGAAACATTCAGTTGATATTTGGGACACGTACTGCCTGCCTGGCTCAAAAGGGGCTTTGCTGTAGGTCTCCTGCAAGCCCTGGCCTCACCTGCAGTCTGGGTTCCCACTGCCTGTAGAGATCTTCTTGTACCCCTCTGGACAGTCTACCTTTGCGCTGAGGATGCAGGAACGGCACTCGGATTTTGTCATCACCAGTGTCTTCTTGTCACACCTGTTCTGTTTATAGCAGACATTGTTAAACTTGCAGGAACAGACAATATGACCATCATCAATTTTTTTCTGCTTATTAATTGCAGTTTTATTTTCTAATTCAGTCTGATAAAAGCCGGATGTTACAGCAATTTATTAATCACACGGCACCTGCTAAATTTCTTATTCAGGCAGGGTTTGGGGGTACTGTTTCTGAAGTGTATGAATAATGTTGTAACTTGAATTCTATAATTTCTTCCTGGACAAAGACATCTATAAATGAACTGTTAATGATGAAGATTGTTATTATTTTAAACATTCTTGCTTTTAAAACATATAATGTCACAAACCAGAGAACATTAATACCACAAAACTAGCAAATTAAAATGTTTTGACAACCCTGCTGGGGTCTTTAACAGTAACACTGCAGGTTTTTTCTCAAAGGAGAGATGTTTTCCCTTTTCGTTTCCAGAGTAGTGCCTTTTAATTAAAGCAGCAGCAAAATGTGGGAGACCAGATCAGAAAGTCTCCCTGCTGTGTTCACAATATTGGTTGCAATTTTCCTAAATTAAGAAAAACAGATGCCTGTCTTTATGTCCTGCCTGAACCCTAGCAAAATGAAAACAAGCTAACGGGCTCAGACATTGGCACAGGTGAAAATATTACTGTATCACATTTATTTATTGTTTGACACTAATGAAATTGACCACTTAATTTGTAGCACCTCCTGAATATCTTACTACACTTTTGTTGGGTAAAAATGAATATCGGTCTGACTGAAGATAAATCAGATTCTATATCAGTTATTTTCCATTCACAACATTTCAGCTGTGGAGCCTTCTTCAGGTGAAGAAGGCTCGACAGCCGAAATGTTGTGTTTCTTTTCTTCTCTTTTCAGCATGGAATAAACCTTTACTTGTTCCTTTGCATCCTACGCACACTGATGCAGCTCCCTACTTGATTTTCCATTCACTATGTAAAAGGAGTGCTTGTATCTTTCATAACTTTTCACTAACATGCCTCAAAATTAGATGCTGATGATTTATTCAAGACAGTGTTGTGTTTTTGCAGTCCAATGTAAACAGGATAAAGGAGGAACAAACTCCGAAATTAATCTGATGAAAGAATACAAGCTCCACTGAAACAAAGCATTTTCAAAGCTGCCTTGGGAGACCCTGGTTTTCATTCAAACCCCCAAAAAAGTTGAGCCTACCTTCACACCATCTGCAAGCGAACAGAAAAGCCACCATAATAAAAACGCCAGATACAGAACAGTGTGAAATCTGCGTTTCTGGTCCATTGCTGAAGTACCTCCTCAGGTTGCAGACTTGCGCTGTGGTGCAGAGACTCCGAGGAGCTGCGCCAGACTGTGAGTACTGGTCCACTAGCCTCTGGCCTTTAATATCCTCCTCGCTTTCCTGTGCCAGATACCCTCCAATCTCTCAACCCCCTGGGTTCCAGATTCTTCCAACAGACAGGAAGAAAAACCAAAAGTGCCTGTTTTCTGTTCAAACAAACCTGTGCAACTTCTAGAGAACAGAATAGCAGGATTTCCTGGGACATAAATTAAATTTGGCCATTGAAAATATTCAGATGTCTTAAGACTTTCCTGAACCTGTGTTTTTGATGGTATGGACTTGATCTCAAGCCATTATTGACACAGATAATGAGTTCATTTGTTTTTATGTTCTTTCTGTGTTAAAAAGAAAACGTTCATACTGCTTAAACCTTTTCACTAGATAAAAGCAGGATTCCATCATGGTGCAGTTTTTTCTTGGTGAGGAGTTACGTTGTTACTTACGTTGACTGTTGTTGTGTTCTGATAAGACACATAACAGTTATTGCCATGTCAGAAATGCCCTTCTGATATCACAAGACAGGTGTTTTTACAGTATGTGGTCAAATAAAATGGGTCACAGAGGCAGACCAGGCTACCAGGAGAGGACAGGCTGTGCTCCCACTGCCCACAGGGAGAAGCAGATGTACTTCTGCTGTATTGTTTGAAAACTCTGGGATTAAGAATAGAGAGTTATTATTATTATTATTATTATTATTATTATTATTATTATTATTATTATTATTATTCATCGGAAATGTCAATAAAAGTCATCACAGAGGCAGACCAGGCTACCAGGAGAGGACA